AGGGACTTTATCTAGTAAACGTGTCTTATTCCTTTGGCAGATTGTTTTACTTGTTTTGAGAAATAACGAAGATGATAAATGAAGATAATGTCAATAAATCACGCTTAAAACAGGTAAAATGATCTGCTAATGAAATAAGACACCTTTATGAGATAAAACTGCTTAAAAACAAGTAAACAATTCTAGAAATAAGTTAAATAATGTCCAATATTCTTACAACAGTCTCATAATGGGAAAAATAGATATATTGACTACATTTAAGATATTTACACTCACTAAGATTAATTTTTGCAGTGCATAAAGAACCGTTTTCTTTACCAAAGAACCCTTGAAGAAACTTAATTCTTAAGTGTGCATGTAGATACAGCTAAGCGAGCTCTCCTTTTGGTTAGGCCTTCAGGAGTTGAAGAGCAGGCCTATTATTAGATATTAGATAACGTATTAGATAATCAGTATATTTATGAAGTGGCAGGAATCTACCAATGACATGTTGATTTCCAGTGGGCAGAACCAATTTTGTAAGATATGTCACTGATCGAATACGAATAGCAGCCAATCAGTGGGTGGATAGAAATGGAAAACAGTGGTGGCAGCTCTACACCAGCCTGAGTACTGAGTCACTGTGAAACTGCTACAGGGTAAAATATATGCTAATATGTCTGTCACAAGCTTCAGGTAAACATGGACAGTCTTTTAGAAGCTTCAAATATCTGTGTTTAAACTAGAACTGCCTTTTAGAATTTTTCGTCCCACCTTAAATGCTGCAGCAGAAACTTTCTAGTGCCTAAAGATGCCAGAATGTTACTGTCACGCTGTTTAAGGTGGAGCGATAATTAGAAGGAGAAGCTAACAACAGCATCGTCAGAATGTGTTCATGTGAATTTGTGTTAGCTGAGCGCTAACAAATTACTAGAATCCTATTAGAACACTAGCAGTAGTCAGCATTATTGTCAAGGTGGACTGTTTTAATAATGTTTTGAGGAAGTTTTGACCTTTAAGGCCCAAATTGAAGTCCTAGCTCTAGTTGCTGATGCATTAATGCATTATTTGTTATTTATATAAGAGGAACAGTATATGCTTGAACTAACATGTTTTAGTTTACGAATGTCTATTTAGTCTAATTGAGTTTCTTCATTCCCACAAAAATTGGGCCATCTTTGTACAGACCACACTCTTCTGACCGTCACTGTGAGGAAAGCCTGGGGTTGTGCAGTTAAATCAGAGAAGTTCAGTTGACTGAAATCCTTTAAGGAAATCAGTCTTGGCTCATTATGTTCTTTTTAAATAAACTATTACGTTGCCACTTAGTTACAGGTACAAATAAATAAAAGCAACGCAAAATGTTTTTTTGATGAAAGGATGCAAATAGCTAAAGCTTTAATTGGCTCTCCAAGATTTAATTGAAGTCAGTTAAAGTTAGTTGAAGTGAATTCAATTAGTGCAGTTCAGTTTAGTTCAACTGGATTGAATTCAGTTCAATGACTAGATTTCACCTCTATGTATTGGTATTATTTTGGCATCTGATGGCAAAAATAACTAGCTGCCCGAAATGGGCAAAAAAGGGCAAACACTTTAATGAACAAATGCCATAGATACTATATCATAACTACTCAGCTCAATTCAAAATGCAAAGGCACATTTAACTGGAAAGACGAAAACATAAGCGAGATAAGAAAAGTGAGAATGCTGGTATGAAAAATGCTGTCTAATGCTGTCTTCCTTCCTCAAGCTCTGTTTCCTGTTTTCTTCTAGATAAGGAAGTAATGAACCCAAGTTATGCATTTTAAACACATAGGGTCTACTTACCATTTAGAGACTAGGCCTAGTCCTGGATTAAATTTCCCATTGCAAAGGAAAGTCTCCATTCAGAATGCTGTGTAGTCCAGAACTAGGTTTAATCCCTGTGAACAAGAAATAACCTTAAACCTATCCTATAAAGAATAGAACAACAAGTTTGCATTGAAGTAGTTACTAAATAATAAGCCTTAACTTGTAATAACACTGGAATTTTAAGGGGTTAAATATATGAAATATAGGCAGATATAAAGGCTTTTGTTCCAGTGTAATACAATGTAGCACATTGTTTTGCATTAATTGTATTTTTGGATGTTTGCACGGGTTTCATTAGCCAAGCCAATACCAGCACATTAATTCAAAATATATCCAGAAGAGAATTAAGAAAAAACATCAGTAAAGCATAGTATATTACACTCACCCAACACTTTATTAGAAATGCATCTACTCATTCATGCAATTATCTAATCAGCCAATCTTGTGGCAGCAATACAGTGCATTAAACCATGCAGATATGGGCCATCAGCTTCAGTTAATGTTCACATCAACCATCTGAAAGGGGAGCAAATATGATCTCAGTGATTTTTGTCGTGGCATGATTGTTGGTGCCAGACAAACTGGTTTGAGTGTTTCTATAACTGCTGATCTCCTGGGATTTTCACACACAACAGCCTCGAGTTCACTCAAAATAGAGCAATAAAGAAAAAAACATCCACTAAGCAGCAGATCTGCAGACAGAAATGCCTTGTCGATGAGAGAGGTCAACAGAAAGGCTACAGTAACTCAGCTAACTACTCTGCACAATTATGTCAAACCTCGAGGTGGATGGGCTACAACAGCAGAAGACCATGTTAGACTCCATTTCATTGGATGAATTCACTTTTATGATATTATTTTAGGTAGATAGTTAATATTGGTACTGTGGTAACTAACACTAGCTAAATAAGGAAGGTGAGTTAGCTATTTGATTTTCTAGGATTTGATTTTCTACCAACTAATTTTCAAAGATGTCCATATAACCTGGTCAATGACTGATAACTGACCTTTTTTTTTTAGCTTTAAGTTCTTCATTTTGTACTGATAATAATTTAGGTAGGTAGCTACCGAGCTGACTAACTTTGGTCAACATTAGCTATCATTAGCTAAATAACTGCTTCTAACTTGGAATAAAAGCTTATACAGCAACAGATTGGTCAGTCAGCAGTTTTACCTTGTTCTTACTAAACCATTTAAAAAGTCTAAAGGCTTATTTAAATAGGCTTCATAGCCAAAGTTTAAAAAAAAAGGCATCATCTGGATGGCAGCAAATGTTGCTCCAAAACCTGTATATATTGTTCAGCATTAATGGTGCCTTCACAGATATGCAAGTCACCCATGCCATGTGCAATAATGCTCCCCCATACCATCACCGATGCTGGGTTTTGAACTGTGCACTGGTAAAAAGCTGGATGTTCTTTCTGCTCTTTCGCCCAGAGGATGTAGTTCCCAGAATTTCCAAAAAGAATTTGAAGTTTGGCTTAATTGGAAACACAGGACACTTCTCCACTTCACCTCAGCCTATCTTAAATGAGCTCGGGCCCAGAGAAGATGGCAGCGTTTCTGGATCCTGTTTATATGTGGTTTCTTCTTTGCATTTTAGAGTTTTAACTTGCATTTGTGGATACAGTGTTAAACTATGTTCACAGACAGTGATTGACTATGACAACACAATGTCACAGACATTGTGTTGCCCTGTCCTATTTTTTTTTAATGTGTTGCTGGCATCAAATTCCAAATGGGCATATATTATTTCAACATTTGATACATCATCTATTTTCAATTAAATTTAGGGTTTAAATGATCTGCACATCATTACATTGTGTTTTTATTTACATTTTGCACAGCGTCCCAACGTTTTTGGAAACAGGGCTGTGTCATAGCGATGTAGTTAGCCTATAGTACATGTGTTGAGTAACTGTACAAATCAAGAAGTCAAAGGCGTTCTGCTTAGCATAGCATCTTGTATATAGAGAAAGAGAACAGCAGTCTGTGGTCAAACCACAGCTGTTCTGATGTCAGCTGACAAACAGTCACTTTTCTTAGACTAGTAGTAGACTACCACATCAGGGCGTGGCTGTTAAACATATTCGAAAGTACCAAGGTCTGGACTTTGCTGTCCTTATTCTAGTTACCACCATGGGCACTTTTGCTTTTGAAACACATTTTGCTAATACTTAAAAAAATAAATGTTCATATTGTGGCACCAGCAAAGATTAAGACACAGGAGAAGCCATGATTCTGCTTTAACTAGTGCTCTTTTATTAAACACCAGCAGAAAGGCACACAGCACAAATAGTGGGGAGGTCATCACCAGCCATAAAGCTCTGCTTAAAAGCAGACACTCAACCCACCCACCTACACAAAATAACAGCTAACACGTACACGCCATTTAAACCAACAGACCACAGCATAAACAACAAAAAACAGTCCCTTCTCAGCTTCTTCGCACTGTCCTTTGAATGACCACACCTCCCGGGGCTTCTAATGGCCGCAATTGGGACACTACAGTATACTGCAAAAACATATATGATACACTTTTCATAATCAAGGGTATTAATGTAGAATTTGTCCCCCATTTACTTCAGTAACAGCTTCAACTCTTTACACAGAGCATTGCTGTGAGGAATTGATTGCATTCAGCCACAAGAGCATTAGTGAGGTCAGGTGCTGATGTTGGATAATTAGTTCTGGATCACTCCAACTCAGCCCAAAGGTTTTGGATGGAGCTTCGTCACAACAAGTCCAATGATGGAAGGATTTATTCCCTTTTAGATGATGTTTGTCATTAGGCATGCTGACTTTAAGTTCCTGTACTGCTGCACCAGAGCGTCCTATTCTATTGGCGAACGCTTTTCTGTGGAGATTATACAAGTTATATGCATGCAGTTGAGCACCGGTGTCAGCAATGGGTGCACATTAGAGTAGCTGAGGTAAATAATTAGAAGGGCCATGCCATTTCATTTGGACAACACCACAGCATACCCCTGTTCGGTCCAATAAAGGGGTTATGATAAATGCACAGATCAGGACAGCTAACTATCATGGCAAATAAATGTTACAACATTAAATTCACGGCTTAATTTAGCTTTGTGGTGAGGTCCCGTGTCAACTGCATCTTTGGTGAAGTCTTGGGCAATCGTTTCCTTCCCACAGCAGCATATACAGGGCAACTGACACATGACAGCGCACAGGAGACGCAACTTTAACAGCCCAGGAACCCCAGACTCTACCTAAATCTCTCACGGGTTCAAACACAGGTAAGAGCTAACATGATTAACTTTTAGACTAACGTTTCTTATTATTCTCTACTGACTGGCCTACATTTAACTTTCTTGAGTAATGAATGTAATGAGTGTAATTGAATTGAATGTAATTCTACTTTTTAAAAATAGGTGTCAGTTCTCCTCTGTTTTTTAGCCTTACATATCCTTAATGGTACATCAAACATGGCTTTCCATTTCTAAAAAGTCAAGATAGCAGCAGGAGACTACTTGCTATGTGTTACAGGAAAGGAGGTTTAAACCAGTCTGTTTGGCATTAAGAGTGGCTGTAGACAGTAGATCTGTTAGTTGATTTAAATACAGTTAAATGTAACTACATTTCAGGTTTGAAAATATTATATATATACATATATATATATATATATATATATATATATATATATATATTTATACACACACCGATCAGGCATAACATTATGACCACCGATCCTTGTTTCTACACTCATTGTCCATTTTATCAGCTCCACTTACTATATAGGTGCACTTTGTAGTTCTACAGTTACAGACTGTAGTCCATCTGTTTCTCTGCATACTTTGTTAGCCCCCTTTTACCCTGTTCTTCAGTGGTCAGGACCCCCATGGACCCTCACAGCAGCTCTGCTGTGTCTGATCCACTCAGACCAGCACAACACACACTAACACACCACCACCACGTCAGTGTTACTGCAGTACTGAGAATGATCCACCACCCAAATAGTACCTGCTCTGTGAGGGTCCATGGGGGTCCTGACCACTGAAGAACAGGGTAAAAGGGGGCTAACAAAGTATGCAGAGAAACAGATGGACTACAGTCTGTAACTGTAGAACTACAAAGTGCACCTATATAGTAAGTGGAGCTGATAAAATGATATATACATATATATATATATATATATATATATATATATATATATATATATATATATATATATGTATAGACATATATATAGACTGCATTTGCCAAGTCAAGTTGACACAATAATAATGTGATATGATAATAATCAAGATGACCTTGGGATAAACTGTAGCTTAGATTACTGACATAATCCTGATAATATATATGTTAATGTGCATAGTCTATGTCAGTTTAAGGTCTATGTCCCAAGGTCACCTTGATTATTATCAAGTTGTCTCAACTTGACGTTGAACATTGAGCAAATGCAACCTTCACGGTCGTAAGCAAAGGTTTGAACACCCTTGGTCATGTGACAGGTTTTGATTTTATAAGTGCACAGAAGTAACACCCTATACATTGAACAAACCTAAATATGCAAATTTCTGCACATTTTTGGGGGCAAAAGTTCTACTTTTATGCATAGTTTAACATACTGGGGGAAAAAAGGGTCATAAAATGTGCCATAACTTTTGTTGACCAGAGGCACCCAAACGTTTGGGTGCATATGATTGTACAACAGGACAACAAATGGCACCTATAAGTTTGTATAAATTTTTATATCGTTCTCATTTGTCTTAAATTACTTATGTAGGTGTCATGTAGTCTTATGAACTCTGCCCTACAATAAATTTTTATTTATTCTCACAATTAATCTGCAAATTCTTAAGCTTAAACTTATATGTTGAAGTTGGAGATGCAGTGGCACAGCTATATAATGAAGAATGAATATAGAAAACTATTGATGATTTAAACTAACAGTGTTCATTAATTTGAGAGCACTAAAGGACATTTACATCCCCCTGGTCACTGAATCATAAGCCTAAAGGTCAGTTTAAATGTGAAAAGAAGGTTATGCATTTAGCTGCGATTAGGAAAATTAGAATTAGTAATATCTTTACAAACACAGTTAAGAACTGATGACCTTATTGTTTCATTTGTCTCTTACCACTGCAGCTGAAATGTCAGAGTACGATTATGAGTTGGATCTCAACGAAACAAAGTGCGGGGAAAACTGCACATTGGCGACAGTCCCTCCAGCTTTGCCCGAGATTGGCCACCGCCACTATATCGTCCTGACCTGCTATGCCATTGTCTTCCTGTTGGGCGTCCCAGGAAACGGCCTGGTAGTCTGGGTGACGGCCTTCCGGATGCCACGTTCGGTCAATGCCCTGTGGTTCCTGAACCTGGCCATAGCCGACCTGCTGTGCTGCCTGTCCGTGCCTTTGATCATGGTGCCGCTGGCCCAGGATAAGCACTGGCCCTTCGGCCTTGCGGCCTGTAAGCTGGTGCACGGCCTGCTCTACATGCTCATGTACTGCAGCGTGCTGCTGCTGGTGCTTATCAGCCTGGACCGCTGGCTGCTGGTGTCCCGGCCCACTTGGTGCCAGAACTGGAGAAGGCCACGCTATGCTAGCTGGGTCTGCTTAGTCATCTGGATACTAGCTCTTGTTATCAGCATTCCCCAGTTCAACGAAATGGAGGTGGACAGGCGAGGATCGAAGATAATATGTGCTGGCATGTATGGCACCCTGCTTGAAGCTTGGAGCATCACAGTTTTCCGCTTCCTGGTGGGTTTCTTCATGCCCTTCTTGGTCATCTGCGTAAGTCATTGGATGGTCTATCAGAGGGCAGGCCGAGGTCCAGGGCAGAACAAGAGGTCGGCACGGACCGTGCGCGTCATCCTCGCCATAGTGCTGAGCTTCTTCCTGTGCTGGCTTCCGTTGCACATCATGGATTTCCTTCAGATGGTTGCGCAAAAGAATACAGAGATACAGCATAACGTGCTCCTGTTCCGTGTGTTGGCTCTCTGCCTGGCCTACTTCAACAGCTGCCTCAACCCACTGCTCTACGTGTGCCTGGGCCGTGGCTTCAGAGATAGCCTGACGAAGACGTTGAGGAGCGTGCTCCACTTTGCCTCTGAGGAACCCCCACGGGGGCTCAGCATGACAGGCAACACCAAGAGCACCACTGACAGCAACCATTTTGCAACAGAAAACAGAGTTCACTAAGAGCTCTCAAAACTGGCTCAACTTTAACCCTAGGAACCCCTTTGTCCAGCTCAAATTCAAGCATTCTCAGCCTCAGCACACTGTCTTGTAACTTTCATAAGCTTTTGGCGCAGGAATTAGTTAAAACAGTGCAGGACAGTTGGCCCTAGGGACTGACCTTGAGAACTTTTGACTTAGAACATCAGGGCCTTTCCTAAAAGCCTTCCAGCATGAGATTGCAGTGTAACTATGACCACACCCAACACTTTCCAGAACTACAGGACTTTTGAAACATGGTTAAGATGCAAACCAACCCATTCAGAGTGGTTCAATGTGAAATAGCATACTTTCAGAAACTTACTGGTCAGAATTGTTCACAAGAGTGTCAATAGGAACCAGACGTCTAATGGGTGATGCCTTTAAAAGAAACCTGCAGGTAGTTATGAAATGAAATGGTTACAAATACACTGCCTGATGCCTGAGACATTGTTCTTCAATAGTTTATGAGATAGGTTTCTCTACAGTGAACCATTTCACATCAAACCACTCTGAATGACTCTTTTTACATCTCAATGAATGAATTAACTGTTCAAAAATCAGTGGAATGAGTTTGATTTGGTAAGTCAGAGCAGGGGATCGCAAAATGTACAGAAGACCTGGATAAAAGCTCTCAACAAAGAATCAAATATTAGTGCTTGGTCTCACACATTCATATTCATGTGGCTCATAAATCACACATTCATATTCAACATACACTTTTAACTTGACACTTTGATGCTTTAGTGTTAGGTAATTTAACTCTGTTTAGCTGTAACCTAGGCTAACTTGGTAGCTCACAGGTAACATCATATATTCATATTCATGTAACTGATAAATCTTGTATTTATATTCTAAATGCACTTTTATCTCAACACTTTGATGCTTTGGCAAATTTACAGTGTAGCTTGTAACCTTGTGTACTGCTCCTCTGTTTAGCTGTAACCTGATTATAGATCATCTATGCTAACTTGCCAGCTCACAGTTAACACAAAACGTAACACTAGACAGTATATAAGGCCAGTATTAACAGGACTTAAGTGACCAATTTTACAAACTTTGACTAAGGCATGTGTTTATTATGCTAATCATTGAGTAAAAATGTCTAATAGTAATAATACAAAATTATATGACATTGTAAGTAGACATGTTTTGAAATAATTTTCAGCTGCATTTCTTTCTTTTCTTTTTCAGAGTTTGTTATTTAACAACTGATGTGTCAAATATTTACATGTATAGCTAGTTTGCTATAGGCTAGCTGTTTCCACATTTACTTAATGGATTATTAAAGAAAAAAGACTGGTTTGAACTGGATTTGTGAGATTTTTTCTTCAAAAAAAAGGTGACCCACTGTGGGTTCTCCCGTTCTTATTTCCTTCTTTCCGTTTTCCGCAATGTCAAGGTTACGTAATTGGCTATGACAACAGGGTGCTCAGGATATTGAGCTAAAGGGGGCCCTTACTGAATTTCAACACACTAAGCAACGTAACTGTCAAGTCTGATAGATTTGACTTTTCATGTTAGAAAATATGAAACCTGCGAAACGCTGACATACAGTGAAGAGTTATTATAGCAACTACTCAGCTACATTTGGTTGCACCACCCCATCACTAATGACCAGTACAGGCCTCTCAAATTAAGTTGCTTTCACACACAGACATTTAAACTGGCGACCAAATTGGATATTAAGCAAGATCAACCACTGCCTAAATGACCATTTTCTCCCATCTTCAGTTTATGTTCATTGAGACTATCATTTAGATTATTGAGAACATTTTTTGAGGAAAAAAAAGTCTAGGCTTTTCCAGTCTCCCTGTTTCCATAGAGATCAATACATAGGAACCCCAAACAAATATGTCTAAATTGAAAAGAAAAAGTAAATAAACAGAAACTCAATGTCATCTTTAAAGAAACTGTTCTATTTATTAACACAAGGGATTTAATTATTGTGTAATTATACACCGATCAGGTGTAACATTCTGACCACCTCCTTGTTTCTACGCTCATTGTCCATTTTATCAGCTCCACTTACTATATAGGTCCACTTTGTAGTTCTACAGTTACAGACTGTAGTCCATCTGTTTCTCTGCATACTTTGTTAGCCTCCTTTTACCCTGTTCTTCAGTGGTCAGGACCCCCATGGACCCTCACAGAGCAGGTACTATTTGGGTGGTGGATCATTCTCAGCACTGCAGTAACACTGACGTGGTGATGATGTGTTAGTGTGTGTTGTGCTGGCCTGAGTGGATCAGACACAGCAGTACTGCTGGAGTTTTTAAACACCTCAGTGTCACTGCTGGACTGAGAATAGTCCACCAACCAAAAATATCCAGACAACAGCGTCCTGTGGGCGGCGTCCTGTGACCATTGATGAAGGACTAGAGGATGACCAACACAAACTGTGCAGCAGCAGATGAGCTATCGTCTCTGACTTTACATCTACAAGGTGGACTGACAAGGTAGGAGTGTCTAATAGAGTGGACAGTGAGTGGACACTGTGTTTAAAAACTCCAGCAACACACACTAACACACCACCACCACATCAGTGTTACTGCAGTGCTGAGAATGATCCACCACCCAAATAGTACCTGCTCTGTGAGGGTCCATGGGGGTCCTGACCACTGAAGAACAGGGTAAAAGGGGGCTAACAAAGTATCAGAGAAACAGATGGACTACAGTCTGTAACTGTAGAACTACAAAGTGCACCTATATAGTAAGCTGGAACTGATAAAATGGACAATGAGTGTAGAAACAAGGAGGTGGTCATAATGTCATGCCTGATCAGTGTGTGTAAGAATACGTTATGATTGAGCACTAATCAGGGCCATATTTTGCTATAAGCAATACAAACAGTCTCTTAGGACTCTCAAGCCACCAAGTAGGATTCACTAGGGGGCCTAAGCATGTACTTTACGTATTTCTAAATCTGTATTCAATAATCTTTTGTAAAAAAAAAAACTTCCTTATGAAAATGTATTAAGCATTAAATCTATTTTCTATTCTTGCATTCAAAAGAACACAACTGGGGCAGCCCTAAGAAGGATGTTGCTCAGGACTAATAAGCCACCAGGGGGCCCTAAGTGTATACTTTTTTAAATGTATTCATTCTTTTTTATTTGTCAAAATTAATAAAGTACTGATCTATTTTCTATTCCTGCATTTACAAGAATATGATCAGGGTGGCCAGTGCAACCGCAACTAAGATGTTGCTTAAGGCCTCAACAAGGGGTCTTGAGTATGTACTTTTTAAAATGTATTCAATATTGTTTGTAAACTGGAATCCAGAACTTTCCATAATTTTTTTCCTAATTAAAAATTAATGAAGCAATCATTCATTTTCTATTTTTCCATTCTAAAGAATGATTGGGGTGGCCTTGAGTTGGATGTTGCTAAGGGACCCCAGGCCATAATGGGGCCCAGACTATGTATGTTTAAAATGTATATTTGATAAAAAAATGAAATGGTTCCAGAAGTTTTGTTATTTCTTTTTCCTAATCAAAGTAAATGAATTATTAATCCATTTTGAATCTATATTCAAAAGAATATGACTAAGGTCACCAGGGGAGCCCCAGGTAGGATGTTGCTTCGGACCCCCAAGCCACTAGGGGTACGTATTTTTTGTAAAATGCATTCCATATGTTGTTTAAAACCAAACTGCAGTAATCAAATTTTAATTGCTTTTTTTATTCTTGCATTCAAAGGAATGATCGGGGTGGCCAGGAGACCCCCTAATCGGGATGTCGATTAGGGCCCCCAAATGTATTGTAATGTTCCTGTCACTAGACTATTCATTGACCCCACCTTCATTGAAATCATTTTCAGATTGCTTTGCTCAACAGCACCACATGCAGGACAAACTGAGACATTTGGAATATCTACACGTACTGATAACACTTACTGGAGCAGATTTTATGAGGAAATGTAAGAAGCCTTGAAACCACACTGGGGTATGAGATATTGATTATTGATATGAGTTTGTGGTCACAATCCTTCTGATAAAGGTTACAGGTTATAAAGTTGACCAGTATCATCCACAGTGTGAACAGTAACTGGCTTCAGTTAGGAAGCTACACGTGGCCTGCAATGACCTCAGTTAACATCCTCTTTATGACTGTCTGAACAGCTCTCTCTGTGAGAACAGCACGGTTCAGCTAAATATAACAAAACACCATAGCAACCATTCGGAAGTAATGGGAATGATAGAAAAAGTGGAATAAAAGAGGGCTGCTTTCATAACCCTTGGAACTTCTCATCCACTGGAGCTGAGCATGAAAAGATGATGTTCCTTTGTAAGCAGTTTTTGATCTGTGGTGAAATTCTGTGCTTCCTTGTAATGAAATACTTAATCTTCTCTTTTTACATATGGATCCAAAACATGAAATATGGAAGGACCCAATTCCTCATGCGTGCGAATACATTTTCCTCTGTTGCGTGAAAATAAGTTGTTTTTTACTAGTATAGTTTTGTACAAATAAAAACAAATTCCATATTATATATAGAGTTTGCATGCATAGGGTTCAAGCAAAATGGGGTAACATTACAGTAACAGTTACAGAAGTTAGAGAAGGGCTAAAGTCTCAAATTATTACAGACTAACAAAAATATAACACACTTTATATTCGCTTTGGGCCCCCCCAAAAATATTTTAGGCCCCCAAAGCCACTACAGGGCCTGCAAGTATCTAACTTTTAAATTCTGTTCCATATTGTGTATAAAACAGTGCAGTGAGTCTAGTCAAAATGAATTAAATATTAATCATTTTTCTTGGCTTGCATTCAAAAGAACACGATTAGGGCCCCTAAATTTTCCTGGCACTAATACATTCATTGACCTCACCTTTGTTAAAGCTTTTGAAAAATGTTTGTGATTGCTCTGTGCATGCAAATCATTGGTCTACACTACCAGTCAAGTTTTAGAACATCACCATTGTTTCAGTTTGTTTGACATTTAAGCAGTTCCAGTCCAGTGAATGACCTGAAATGGCACAAAGGTAAGTGGTAAACTGCCAGAGGTTATAGAAACTGAACAATAAACTGAAAACTGAAAAATAATGTAAATTATGGAGTTATGAAAAAGACCTTTTGCGGGGAACAAGTCATTGGTTAGCAACTTACATTTGTTCTAATGCAGTGGAAGTAAATTAAGCTTTAAAAGTTGATGCAAACAATTTCTACAGATGTCACAGGTTGACATGACATGCATTTATTTTCCATAAAAAATGAATACGACATATATCAAATTCTTCAGCAATACCTCCTTTAGGTGGTATTTTCTGTGCATCCATGTAAAATCCATTTTCTTTTTCTTGCCTCCAAAAGTCTAAAAATGTCAGGTGGTGTAACCATCCAGCCATATATGTGGATTTAGTAAACTATCAAAAGAGGTAATTTAGTTATATAATTTCTAAATAATGATTTTATGCTTGAAAATGTAAATAAAAACCATGTTACAAAATAAGGCAACTTTAAAAGTGCTCAACTCAGTGAAAAACTTTTGTCCACAAGTTCTTACTTCCCCAAATGTCAGGTGGCACAAGCAAAAACTAATCACTTTTGTTTTGACATGCTTTTACAAAAGAGAGGCCAAGGTATTGCATCATAAAAAAGACCCCAAGTGACCTTCATGGTCCAATGCTAAGGTCAGTAGCTCTTTCACAAACTTTGGGAAAAAAAAGTCATTTTTTGAGTCAGGGTTAGAATGGTTCGGTTTACCATGTCAGGCGGTAGGACCTCAGGAAAACCATGAAAATGTGTAATTATAACAATAATTAGACTGAGTTTAATAATTATTAATTTGAAAAAAATGTAGGTGTAAACTCAAGTTCAAGGACAAAGGTTTCTACTGGTATCTAAGTAAATGCCTGTTTAATTTGAAGTTAGTCTGAAAAGTCAGGTGGCGCAACCAGCTAGTACAGTTGTAATAACTGGAATATATATATATATATATATATATATATATATATATATACACATATATAAACATATATATATATATATAAACATATATATATATATACATATATATATATATATATATATATACATATATAACATATATATATATATATATATATATATATATAAACATATGTGTATATAAATATATATATAACTATTTTTATCGGCCCACTGTCTGTATAAAGATGCTTCTGAAGGCCTTCATTACCTGGATCAGGTGTGTTAGTTTAGGGTTGGGACTAAACTCCTCAAGGTGGTAGATCTTCAGGAGCAGGATTGGACACGCTTGTCCTACCCTAACAAAAGGCACTTGGAAATGGGAGGAAACAGTTCAAGCAGACTCAAAGCACAATCACGAAGCTGACTCAACATCATGATGTCTGTCAGTCACCGATGATGGATGACGCTTTGTCTATCTGCCCAACCCTAACGAGGCCTTCCTGGCCCATGCAGTGCTGCCAGTGCACTACTGGAGACTGGAAGAAGGTCTTATGGACCAGTGAAGCAAAAATTCAAATCTTGGATTCATTTCGCAGGGTGTTGAGTAGGCGAAAGGATCGTTCCTCACTAACGGAGGAGGAGGCGTGATGGTCTGGGGTTTTTTGCTGGATCCAGAGATGAGACTTTCACAGAGTGACTGACACCCTGAACCAAAGGTGCTACCACAAAATTTTGCAGTGAAATGCAATACAATTGTTTTTTTTGTTTTTTTTTAATGTCATTATTTTTTACAAACGACTCCTTTTTTTAATCTCTGTGCTAAATTCTCAGTACACAGACATTAAACTGCATAAATATCCATAAACCTGGAAATATGAGGGTGTTCTAAAACTGGTAGTGTACAAGCAAATCATATGCAACAAACAACAAGGCATATTAATAAATAAAGTTTATTATCAACATGCAATGAAAGGGAACAAGAAAGCGTTTCCAAGTACTACAAAAGATTTCTCTAAAACACTATATGACAAAGACCAAAAGATGATGGAGTACCAAATGCAGGCAAGGCAATATTTCATTATGTACAGTGAGTCTACACTACAGTGCATTCACAGCAATAGTAAGTCAAAAGGTCATATATGTACAGATATCTACAGCTGGAGGGATGGGTACCTCCTGTATAGAGTTTGGCAGTGCTATAGCAAGACAGTGGCAAGTCATAGTCCTCCGATACATTAGGTGGTACTACAGCCCCTACACAGAGGCCACATAAGCAATTCTAAAGGTATGTTTGAGGTTGCCTAGATTTAATGGTGCATTCGGTCAGTCCTTGTAAACTCAAAACTTTTGGAGTTACCGTAAGGAATTTGCAAGTCACAAGTGTTAAACTCAGGTGAGATCCATGTAAATCCACTTTAAAATTTGGGAAATATCACCAGCTAGTACATTCTCAGATACCTGTCAATATAATAGACCAAGCAAACAATGTAGCATGTTAATGTTAAATGTGCAGTATCGATTATTTCCGAAAGCAACAACAAACAGCATCATTTCTACCTGGCTTTTTTTTTACAGTGAACAATGTTATTTGTCCATCATAAAAAGCACACACCAACCGGCCACTTGAAAAGTACGCCTCGTTGTAACTGCACTCATTGTTTATTTTACTAGTTACATTTTCCATATAGGTGCACTTTGTAGTTCTATAGTTACAGACTGTAGTCCATCTGTTTCTCTGAATACTTTGTTACCCTATTCTTCAACAGTCAGGACCCCCAAGGACCACCACAGAGCAGGTATCATCTGGGTGGTGGATCATTCTCAGTCCTGCAGTGACACTGATGTGGTGGTGGTTTTAAACACTGTGTCCACTCACTGTCCACGCTATTAGACACGCCTACCTTGTCAGTCCACCTTGTACATGTAAAGTCAGAGATGATAGCTCATCTGCTGCTGCACAGTTTGTGTTGGTCATCCTCTAGTCCTTCATCAGTGGTCACAGGACACTACTGGCTGGATATTTTTGGTTGGTGGACTATTCTCAGTCCAGCAGTGACACTGAGGTGTTTAAAAACTCCAGCAGCACTGCTGTGTCTGATCCACTCAGACCAGAGCAACACACACTAACGCACCACCACCACGTCAGTGTTACTGCAGTGCTGAGAATGATCCACCACCCAAATAGTACCTGCTCTGTGAGGGTCCATGGGGGTCCTGACCACTGAAGAACAGTAAAAAAAAGGGAACTAACAAAGTATCAGAGAAACAGATGGACTACAGTCTGTAACTGTAGAACTACAAAGTGCTCCTATATGGTCAGTGGAGCAAATAAAAGGGACAATGAGTGTAGAAACAAGGAGGTGTACTTAATGAAGTGGCTGGTCAGCGTATTTAAAACAAAGAGGCAAAACAACTGAAAAGTGGCTGGATAGTCTGTAGCTGGTTTAGCATATATGCTAGCTAGCTAGCATAACAGTTAATTCATCTTTAGCAAGTTTAAAGGCGATCTGTGACTTACTAAAACAAAAGCTAGATTAGCAGTTGTGCTAGCTAGCATACCTGCTAGCCAGCCATTTCAAGTTTTGCGCTGTAGGCTGGGGTTCAATCCCCCATCTGGGCAAGCATCCTACACTATACCAATAAGAGTCCTTGGGCAAGACTCCTAACACTACCTTCGCCTACCTGTGTAAGTCGCTCTGGATAAGAGCACCTGCCAAATGCTGTAAAGGTAATGTAAAATGTAGCACTCCTTTCTGTCGTTCAGATTGAAGGTTTTTCTGTAATGAAAGGCTCGATATTTGTCCCTGTCTCTGGTTTACATGATAAATTCACCATCTGAATGCAAACAACTGCATTTACATGACAGTTTTTTGAGCGACAAGGATCGTCTCAACACAGCAAAAGTCAAAACCAAGAGCTCTATGTGGGATTGACCAGAAACCTCATAAGCTAGCAGAACAAATTGGACTTTTTTTCCTAAAAGAGGTCTCATGTGAACATTGCTGGCACTGGCATAAACTAGCTGACATCAAGCGCACTGTTTGTACAATGTAATGTTAATGTATATGGTGAACTGCATGTGACTCACTAATGGGCAGAAATTACACTGTAAGCAGGTAGGCTGAAGAAATGTATTAACTACTACAACTAGTTCTCGTCCTATATGTCACTGGTTCTCAAATCCCGGTCCTTAAGTACCCCTGCCCTGGGCAGGATTTACCCTACAGTAACGCATCTGGTTCACCTCAGGAAAGCTTGTTAATTACTTGATGAGTTGAACCAACCAATGCTAAACTATGCAGGACAGGTTACTCAAGGATTAGGACTTGGGAACAACTGCTGTATGTCAATGTTTAGCCACCCAGTATGAAGTTGAAGACTGGAAAAGAAAATAATTACTAGTGGAGAAATGTAGAGCAAGTGGTTAATTAGCTCCTAATGCCTTCTTCAGGCACTTTAAATAAAACGTGTGAAAATATTGGTGATCTCATTAAAACCTGGGTTTGAAGAACATAAATTTTCAAAGAATCCCTCTTTGCACTGTATTCCATTACATAGTCAAATTAGCAGTGTCACATTAACGCCTGCAGTGTTTACTTGATCTCTGCGGGATTTAAATTAATCATGTAAGATTTAATTCAACACGACGAGAATTAATTCTGCATTTGCTGTGTTGATGTGGTACACAGTCGTACTCTGTCTAGGCTATGCACCAAAGAGAGGCACAATTGCTTTAGCAGCACGAGACCACAGGTGAATGAAAACAAGTTTGTTATAAGGTGCAGTATGGGGTCTTTCAGTCTCAGGCCCATCCCGGGACGGGATATGACAGCGGCAGCAGCAGCAGAGCGGTGTCTCAGTCTAAGACTTCCCTTGAGTTCTGAGGTATGGGCGCCCAGAATGAGCACAAAAGTCAAAAGAGGACAATCATAATGAGAACAGTACTTAAGTCTCTTTCACCAAATAAAAAAGGTATATGTCCTGGTAAGTCTCCATCAGTTGCCAGTTTATTTTGTACACCCCCGAACTTCATGTGACTACAGTGTAGAGCAGGCCGGAGTTTCTAGTATCAGTTATTGTTCAAATGAGCATTCTGAACATGAATGTGTTTTTAGCATCTCCCAAATGGTTGCAACTTTTCAAGCAGAACCGGTTCAAGTGTTTCACAAAAACTACCAGTGATCACTGAACTGTTGGACAAAAACAGCTGGTGGACTAGAGGGCTCAACAGAGAATTGTGCAAGCAAATAGATAGGCCACAATCAGGCAGATCACATCCAATTTCAGAGTGCAACACGTATTAGACTTTGAAATATCCTACAAAACTCCAAGATCACAGCAGGTGATGTCAGCAAAAAACAAGAAAATGTGTCTCCAGTGGGCACAGGAACATCAAAACTGGGATTCTGAGAATGGAAAAAAGTTGCCTGGTTGGACAAATCCAGGTTACTTTCCATCATGCTGATGGAAGGATCGGAATTTGGCACAAGCAACATGAATCCATGGAGTCATCAACTGTACAGGCAGTGTGGTAATGTGGGGAATGTCATGGTACACATTAGGTGCCTTAATACCCAGTGAGTAAAGCGCATCTAAACATCTTTGTTGTAGTTCATAGTGACACTTCCAGCATTAAAAAAGGGCACGTCACATGAACACGTCACAAGGCACATCGTCACTGAATAGTTCCAGAAAATTCCAGAAAGAGTTTTCATTGCTTCAGTTGCCTGCGCAGTTCCAGGACTTTAACCATGTAAACTGGTATTTTGGGATATGTTGGAATTAGATATAATACTTAGAATTAGATCAACTTCCACCGGGGTCCAACTAACACTGAGGAAGCCACTGGAGCTGGTAATTAATGTAATGGGGTGTACCTGGGCCAAAAATCGTTATTTGCACAGCCGTTTATTGAACCTAGGTGATCCCACATGCAACATTCATGATCAGACAGTAGTCATGACCTTGAGTGAGCCTGAGCGGAAACGCATGATCTTCCTTTTCAGTGCATGCGAAGCTTTGATCTTGACCACAGAGCTCTGGGCATTCTGGGAGGAAGCAGGCAAACGTGGAGGCAGTTGCTGAGGCCAGACAAGCCCCCCGCTCTCGTCTGAATCACTAGACACAGAGCTGGACCTCGGAGAGCACGTCTCGCTCAGGCTAGAGTCAGAGCCTTCACCACGGCTAGCTCTAGCATTCGTCCCATTTCTAAGATGCTGGCTCTGCTCTGTGTACTGAGGGAAGGTGTGAAAAGGTAGGCTTGTGTATTTGAGCATAGGCTCTTCCCCTCTGAGTGATGACTCCTCCTCCTCTTGGCTAAGGTCTGCTGAGGAGCACCAGAGCCTCTGATTGGACAGATAGTCTTCATCTATGCAGTGAGTGCCCCTGTCCCGTCCCACTGTATAGTACCTATGTTCTGGTTGGACAGTCCACCCTTGGGGTGGGAAGCTTCCTTCCGATTGAGATCGGCTTGTTGTCTTGCCACGTCTTTCCTCCACTGATCCCCACCTTTCCTCCTGATGCATTCTTGGTAATCGAGGTGTCCAGTCTTGTTCGGCAGACTCAAGTGTTGCAGGTGGAGAAATACGGGTACGGATGTAGTGTGATGATGACATAGGGTCCAACACTGTAGCGTGATGCTCTAGGTAGCCTCGTTGGTGCTGAAGTGAGTCACCATCACTACTGCTGGTGCAAGGCTTCATAGCTCCATATTGCTCCATCTCTAAGGAGGATTCTGGATCTTCACATACAAGGGAGGCTGGCCCATCCTGTGGATCCAGAGGGGGCATGTAGTACCCTTCTTGTGACTCCTCTCCACCATCTTCTTCCTCATTGAGGGCTGCCCATTCTTGCCATTCTGAGTGGCCAGGTGTAGGGTCACAATAGTTGTTTGTTACGGGTGGATAAGAATGTAGGTCTTGCCAGCGGTTAGAGGTAAAATCGAGGTCTGCGGAAGGGCTGGGATTTGGGTTAAGGGAACAGCGCTGTAGGAGGCCCAAAATATAGGCCTCCACACGCATTGCTTGCTGAATGTCCTCTGCTGTGGGACCCTCATCTACTTCCTCAACAGGACCCTCATCAGTCTCCTCAGTGGGGCCATCTATGTCCACAGTGGGACCCACATTGACCTCCCCATCGGGGCCTTCATTCACCTCCACAGTGAGGCCCATTTCATGTCTGTTCAAGGGATCTCCATTTACCACCTGGCCTTCGGACCACAAAGCTCCATCTTCATTATCAACGTCTTCATCATCATCCTCTTCCTCCTCGGTTCCCTCTGCGATGCCCTCTAGAGGGGGGTAGGGGGCGGAGAATGAACGTGGCAGGACAGTACGAGGGGTAGGTTCCCTCTGACTTTCCCAGTCCCACATGTAGGCATCTGTGGGGAAGGAAGGGACATGGAACATCAGTACATAGATGTGACTGTGCTGATCTGTATGTAAACATGACTACATCTAAATAAATTTTATCATCACATGTCACATTATAATGTACCAACTCACATTTACTGGTTTGGAGTTTTTGCTCTAAATGAGGTCAACATGCTGGGTGCCTGGAGCTTTGGGGTTAATATAGCTAAAAAAGTAATAGAAACTTATACCCCACCAATTAGCATTATGCAAACTGCATGCTTACTGAGCACTTAATTCAAGCTGATTTGAGTTGTTAAGTAGTCTCAAATAGACTTGCTTATGTGGTGGATATTCTTCCTTTCAGTCCACTACACTTAAAAGTAAACATAAACTTTCTTTTAACTCCACTACTTTCTGCACAACTGTATCAGTACTTGTGTTGCTGGGAAAGCACAAACTGGACTACTGGACTGGACTATTAGTCTTCACTAGCATGCAAAAGTCACAGAAGTAGTACTGTGCCAGTTGGAATTATTTAAAATATAAACTACTTATCATTATTCTATAATAAGTTTGAAAGCCAGAACATTTCTACTTTAACTCAAGTAGAAATAAAAATAGTGAATTTCTACTTTTACTCGAGTCATGCAGTGTCAGAAATGATAACAGCAAGTCTAGAAAAAAAATGTAAATGGGTCATTCTACAGAAATGTCCATGTTTTTATCTCTCCATAGGTGTCACTGGTGTTACCGATCCTCATTGGTGTCACACATAATAAAGGAAACACCAGAGACATTTTTAATGAAAAATGCATTTTACAGAATGGCTGCTACAGAACATCAAACCACATGTTGTCAATCATGGAATATCCACTAAAATATGTAATTTAATCCATTTGTATTCTATTTTTACAGTTACCTCAGAATAAACTCGGTCACACCAGTGACGTCAGCTAAAAGCTTCATATGAAATCATGAGCTAAATGAGAAAACCTCTGATAACTGAAAGACACAGTGGACTCACCATGTGCTTTTCTTCATAGATCCTCAGAAAAATAGATAAAAGGCAGTCAAGTGATGTCATCAGTGTGATTTTTATTTCAATTTTTTGTTATGCAGTAAAACCAGTGACACGACTCCTGGGGACAACGACTTTCATTATATATTTTATAATATTTATTTGGCATTTGTTTTCTTTATGTCATTTAATTTACATATTCCAGAGTCATGTATAGATTATTGTAGTTAAAATTACAGAAAAAAATGTGTTTTTTTCTTCCAAAATATGGCATCACCCTTTACACATGACTGTGGGGACGAGCTCTTCTGTGGTGCTTGGAATTCTAGATAATTGATTTAAAAACCAATATTGCTAAACTGATGGATCAAGAAGGTGTAATTGTTAAAATAACTTATTGTTTTATTTTAAAATATAACTAAATTGTAACCCTAAGATGTTAATCTCTAGATGTTAAACCCTAAGTGTAATATATCTGTGAACGCTAGGGACTTAAAAATGGACGTTTCTGTAGAATGACCCAAATGACATTTTCTGCCAAACAATTGCTTTACATCAGTTAAGACTTCGTGATATCCTGAGGAAACGCCTAGAGCACGGACTGACCCACTGATCTTGGCCTGTGACTGGGGAAGGAGAGACTAGGGGAGGAGCTGGAGCGCCTTGGAGGAGACTGAGTCTCACTCTGCTCATAAAAACCTGTGGACACACACACACACACACACACACAGCTGCAGTCGTGCATACAATATTACACAATTACACAGAGCATGGTAAGAAGTCAGAGGCTGAATCTGAAATGTCTCACCAGTCATGTACAGTGCTCTCCATAGGGAATAAAAGCTATTAATAAAAGCTATGCAGGGCAGCAGGACACACTGCAGATTCAGCAGATTCAGAAGTGATTAATTATAAATTAGACTTTCATATGGTAACACACTCAATCACACAAGGCACAAAAACTCCATCATAAACCGGATAACACGGCACAGCATGTTGATGATAAGCCCATGACAAAGGAGTGACTAAGGGTGATTACGTCAGAGCTTTAACCTTCTTAAATATGATGAAATAAGCAATGTTAAACTATGTAATAAAAGAATATTATATTTTTAACAGAGACATCCACCGTTTGAATCTCATGCCAGAGCACAAATTGAAAAGCAATTCACTGTTCCAGCCTCTAGAGGGAGTACCTGAGCTCGAGGGACTGTCCAGATCATCCTCTGCACTCTGGTCACACGTGTCCACCCTCAGCTCACTGAACTGCTGCTGCAGTACCTGCATCAGCCCACTGGGGGCATCCTGGAGACGGTCCTGCAAAATGAAGAGGGTTGGTTAGAGCAGTGCTTCCTAATCCCAATCCTGGGGCTTCCTTCCTTTCTGCACAAACACTTGATTTAAAAAAAAAAATATATGATTTCAAATTGATGTAGACCAATCATAGAGCACTTTTCACTAAACCCCACTTCTTCTTCCAATTGTCCAATCATAGCTTAGCAGCTTTAACTCCATAGGGTAGTATTTTCAATACAATTCAATTCAGCCAATTACCAACCGCATCATGAAACTACAGGGAACAGAAGGTCATCAAGTCTGGAATTTGTGCCAAAGCTAAAACAAATATTTTTGAATACTGTATCAAATATTGTCTCAAATATTCTATAAGAATATAAAAAAAAAAGACATTTGATTTTAACTAAATGTGAAAAAACATTATATATTCTTGTTTATTGCCTTACTGCTGCTTTTATCATTATAATTATTGTTCATACTATTACTGTCAGAAATATTGTAATAACCTCTTCTTATTATTCTCATTATTTGCACTAATGCATAAATATATATTTATTTAACTTACTTTTTATTAGAACTTTGTTGCTGCACTTCTTCGACACCAGTGCTTGTTACAGGAGGTGCAAGACAATTTAACCATCGTCTTAGAAAATGAAAACTATCAGCTCGTCAGTGAGTGCGCTTAAATGCACTTAATAATCCGATAACTGCAGAAAATCAAATTTTGTCAGTAATCCGATCAACACATTTACATGCACTTGAGTAATCAGATAATAGGAAAACTCTGGGTCTATGTGAGTCAGTCAGTAATCAGATTTCTACTTTGAAACCGGCCAATAAACTCACAGAAGAAGACGTAACGTAAAACTCAAAGCTTTATTATTAACATCAAGCCATTTTACCTGAAAATATGAACAAACATCACCTATAAGATTTAAATCCTTTATTTTGTCAAGCATGTATTTGGTTTCAGCGTCTCTTCAGAAGTGTTTTGCTGCGTCTCGCTGTGACGCTGCTCGCTTATTTCTGGTACCGCAGTCTGTTTTCACCCACGCGCAAACGAAAGAAATCAGAGTAAGAGTTTACAGGCACTGAGAAATCTGATTACTGAGCTACAATCCAGCTCTCTTTATCGGATTTCTTAATCAGATTTCTAGACCTTACTCCGATCTAAGAAATCGGACTGTGCTGTTTACATGACCATTTGAATAATCAACTGCAGAAATCGGATTATGATCAGATTATTAAGTGTATGTAAACACAGTCAGTTAAGGAGGGAATGCTGAAGGTTTTTAAGCCGTTCAAAACTATTTCAGCATGTGCTAAACTCAACCACACCGGCTTTAAGTCTCTGTGCAGTCTGACTAATTTTCCTACAGCTCTGGACAGCTGGCTAGCCTGATTCACTCTCTGTAAAATGCGTCTGAGAACATGTTAGCTTGGCAGCAATCCAAAGCAGTAGAAAAATTTAGACAGCTTTAGTCAAAATCGTCTCCTCAAATGTCAAGATCCAGTGAGTCTGGTGTGCTGGCTAATGCATGCTTCTGGTGACAAGCTAGCATTTAGCTTGAGAAACACTTTATATTCCTCTGAAGTGTGAGGGTTTATACGTGTCAGTTATTCGAAATACTTTTTTTGTTTTCAAATATTTTCCTTATCAAATTTATAAAGTATTTAGGGAATATTTGGTGCGGCCCTACTAGCAATGCTAACTGCTGGGTTTTTAGCATTAGCTAAACTACAATTCTAATTTTAATCTCTGTAGCTCCACAACCCCAGACAGCGAGCATATATAGGACCGCTGGTTTGAAAAGGTTGGCACCCCACTGACTGTCTGCCACTGCTGGTCCACCCTCAGACCACCCAGATTATTGTCCTGCATACAAGCTCTAACCAGTTTTTAATCTCCTCAAAGAGATTTTAACAGAGACTTTTATTTTAAAAAATAAATTTACACAAATTTTATAAACTGATGACTAGGCCTGATATAAAATGATTCTATAGAAAGTGTTGTTGCTAAAGCTGTGCTAGATTAAAATTATCTAATCTAATTTACAAAGAGGAACTAAAGAAAGGAAGGAGGGGGAAAAAAAGTAAATTGGACTGTGAGTGGAAAATGAGCGATGATAAGAGGACTTTTGTCTAATACTCCACTTAACACAACATCCCCTGACCTATCCTTTTAGCTGGTATTGGTGCTAATCTATTAATTAATAATTCGACAATTTTACTGCTGGCTGAACTATTTTCTTAACCACTCTATCAACACATCATCCCAGAAACTGGAAACAAAATTGCTGCTAGTGCTAATTAGCATCATACCAAATGCTATGTGGTGGCTGCTGGCTTTCATTAGAAACGTCAGCACTGGCTAAACTATGACTTTATTTCCCGTAGCACCACCATACAACAGTCCCTGAACTGTAAGTTGACACAGCAAACCCCCCCTAATAACTGTTCTAACACCTACAACAGCACAACATCCCGGGAGCTGGAAACTAGTGCTGGTGCTAATGTTAATTACCTGTGCTAATGCTAATAAACAATAGCATGAAGAGGAATTTTAGCACTGGCTTTTTTCTTTACCACAGTAGCAACTCAACATCTCAGGAACTGGAAATGACTGCGGCCGGAGCTAATCAGCTATGCTAAATGCTACCTGGTGGCTGTTGGCTTTCATTAGGAATATTAGCATTGAGTGCGTACATGAACTTAATAATCCGATAACTGCAGAAAAACAGATTTTGTCACAATTCGTTAATGCTATGCACTTAGATAATGGGAGAACTAAGGTCTACAAAAGTCAGACAGCGCTCAATAGCCTGTTTTTCCCATTTAGCGGAAAATATGAACAAACACCATCTAGAAAATGAGGTATATTTAATTTCTTCATTTCATTAAGCATGTACGAGGTTGTCTCTCCAAATGTGTTTTGTTGCCATCTCACAAGTGCTGTGTTAAACGCTGCTCTCTCTTTACAAAATGCTTCTTCTTACCTTCAAGGCTTTATATGGTCTGACATACTTTTCTGATCCCATTTCATTATACTGTCCCTCTCGTTCTCTCCGATCTCCTAATTCTGGACTCCTCACAGTTCCCTCAACTAGACTTTCTACTATCGGTGGCAGATCTTTCAGTGCTGCTGCCCCCAAACTCTGGAATCCTCTACCTTCCACTCTTTTCTTCTCTAAAGTCTTCTAGATTTTTTTTTTGACACTTTGTAAAGCGTCCTTGGGTTTATGAAAGGGGCTATATAAGTTGAACTTATTATTATTATTATTATTATTATTATTTTTCTTCTTATTATTATTATTTTCAGGGCAGTGGTCTATTTTTGCACATTCTGGACTGAGATAAACAAAACCTGATTAATGAGCTTAAATCCAGCTCTCTTTATCGGATTTCCAGGCCTTAATCCAATCTAAGAAATCAGAGTATGCTGTTTACATGACTTGAATAATCAGACAACTGACAAAATCCGATAATGATAGGCTAAGTAAGTGCATGACTGAACTATTCCCTTCACTTTACTTCCCTTCAACTCCCAAAGAGCTGCTTTGAGTACTCAGTCGGTCATCTACACACACAAACACACATCCGCACACAAAATCATTATCACTCTCTCGCTCTCACTCTCACAATCCTTATTGATTTAGCAGAAAAAGATTCTCAAAATCTAACGTCGGCCTGAAGATCCCACTGTGATGACTGCTGCCTCTCAGACCCGAAGGAAATCCATTGTGACAGCGTTGGTCGGACAGACAATCAAACGTTGCCATGCAACCTCAAAAAAGCAATGCATAATTTATAGTCCATCCCATGCAACCCAAAGTTTGCTAATTAGTGGAAATCGTTTGCCTGGAAGGGAGTACAATATTGGAAGTGATAATTCTGGGATGACAAAAAGGCCTCAGAGTTTCCGGCACGCTGAATCATTCATGCTCTTCCTCTACAAAGTGCCGTTGCAATGATAAATCAAAGGCAGTGAGGTGTACAACACATCGGCGGAGCGTGGTGAAGACAGAGAGGCTGGCGTAGCGTTTGAACTGCTGGTATGTGTTTTTGCGTGTTCATGCGTGTTACTGAATTCTGTTACGTAAGCTGACAGCAAATGCATCCAACTGGAACATCAATAATTTAAAGCGAGAGTGAGCCCTCATTTAAACCGCACACGCAGCAAAACAAGCGCACACAGCAAGCCATTCAATGTTTATGCATCTGAGGAGCAGAGAAGTGCTATTTTGGTGTATATGTTCCAAAAGGCACCAACCAACAGACATGAAATAAACCCTGAAGACAAGCTAAATACAGTGACAGGATCACCGTCTTGTCATGAAGGGCCTAGACGTCTGTACGGTTATGAAACTGAACTAACGCAGATGGATGAGTTCATTAATAGAAAAAGTTATGCTGGGATAAACTGGTGTTTTACATGTCTTTAATACTCAAACAGCATTTATTATCAGTGAGCTATTCTGTGGAATTGCTGATCACATCTGGCAGAGAAAAGCATCCACCCTGCTAGCTCCACCGAGCCACAATTCCTCTCGCTACAGCTGCTACTTGCAGAAATGCATAGCAGCAAACAATAGGAAATATCTGCTGTGACTTTCTTCCAACCAGCACATCCCTCTCATCATCCATAGTGTGGTTACGAAGGAGGTGCTGCCGAACTTCATCCTCATTTTGATTCAGGGACATATTCAAACTCCAAAGCTACTCCAAACACAGCTAACATTTAGGAAGACAGAGAGAAAAAGAGAAAAAAGTGTGCAAAATCTACTATAAACCCAATTCCAAAAAAGTTAAGAGTAGTTAAAATGGGAATAAAAATAGAAAACAGTGATTTGTAAACTGTCTTTACATGTATTTAACCCTTGTATGGTGTTGATGTGTTTGTTACTCGGTGGTCTGGTGGACCCACCGCATGTTTTTTTAAATCAATACAGCCATAACAACTTATGTAAAAATACCATCCATCCATCATCTAAACTGCTTATCCTTCTAGGTCGCGGTGGTCA